CTTATTTGTATAGTACTGTATCGAAATTTTGTTTTCAAATTAAACACCAGTACATTGTCATTTACCAAAAGAGAAAAATCCTAATATCTAAAAATTAGTATTTTCTAAGACTATTGAAAACACTTAGATAGGTTTATTTGATGTCTCGAATTCTCCTTGTTTTCGTTCACGTGCCATCAACTGTTGTTGTTGTTGAGTAACAACAAATTTTCGACCAAGTACTTGTTCAGCTTTATTCAAGGCCGTGGTAACTAAAATAAGGTTGATTTTTTTAGTTAAATTCAAGGACCCATAGCGGTGTAACCAGGATTTGGACAGTGTGGAGGAGACAGCTGAGTTTAGCTGGCATAGCTTCGATCGGTGGAGATTCAGTCCTCTTTCTGGTTACACCACTATCAGAAATACTAACTAGCATGCATATATTGATTTGTTTCATTGCCAAGTTGATGAATAATTTCATCGCCGTCTTCCAATGATTTATTTATAGTTTTAACTTGATCTTGAAAAACAAGTAATTGATGTCTCATTTGATTTAATTCATCAACAATTATTCTTTCTTGTTCATTATTATCAATAATTTGTGGTATACTAGAACTTTTTTTAATTGTTTCTATTGTTTGTTCATTTGTACTTGATATCATGATGGGTTTTGAATCATTTTGTCGTCGAAGTTTTTTTCTCTTACTTTTTCTCATATTACAACATAAACAACCATGATATACATCAATTTCATTCATTTCATTAACAACAGATGTTAAATCTTGATTCATTGAACGCATTTTATCATTAGCTAAAGATAATAAAAGATTTTGATTATGTAAATTTTCCTTTGTATCAAATGCAAGTTTTTGTTGTTGTTCAAGTGATTGAACAACATTTGATGTAAGATCGATTGTTTCACGAAGAATTGCATCACGACGATGAAGCAATTCAAGTTCATGTTCATTTGACATAAATATTGTTTGTTTTTTGTTTCAAATAAATATTGAATTGACAGAAATAGTCTAATAAAAAACATTTTATTTTTGAATTCTCTGAAGATTTTTTATTTGATTATTAAAACTGCGCGAATTTTTTTCTTCATAAAGAAGAAGGCATTCATAATTTTTACTTCTATATGACTTTTAATAGAATGATCTACTTGTTCACAACATATATCATACTTGTTTTTCATTAAAATTAATGCATTTGATGTTGAACTAAAATTCTTTAACAATATTTCCTAGACTGAAACGATAGGTTATACAAATGAAAATTCATGTGTGCCTGTCTTTAACACAATTACCAAAGGGTAACTATAGTACACTTACACCCACATCCTCAGTTGAAAAAACAGAACAGATTATAAATTTTTTCTCTTGAATGCACAGGAATGAAGGAAATTTTGGAAAGAAAAATATACAAAAATGATAGATGAAATATTTTATCAATCACAATTCTTTATAGGAAGCTACATGACATCTTTGTAATTATGGCTGATCACGAAATAATAGTTTTATTAAAATCAAGTACGAAAGTTCATGCATGTTAATCTTGCACATTCGTTTTAGCACTAGTTTTATCTAGAGAGCTGAAACTTTGAAAAATTAAAGATCATATTTATATATTTATATATGTATAGTAATCAAATTATTACTTTTTAAGTTATGTTGATATTGTAGTAAGAGTTCTTTAATTTTGTTCGATGACTGTGTATCTACTTCGTTTGATATTGATTAATCAAAGACAGGAACTGCAAAATCATTTTTAATATTGACATCTGTATCATATTAGAGTAGAAGTTTGACAATTAAAAAAATGATTGCAAAATTTCGCTCCATGTTCTAATGCCCATTTAGCATTAATTTGTTATTGTTTGATCGATCATTAGTCTTGTTTTTATCTCTTTTCGTTCTCATTCTTCACAACTTACGTTCTGTTCACCAAAGTTTTATATATATTTTTTTCTTTTATATAACGTATTTTCAGTGGAAATAGTAATTCAAAGAAAAAAACTAAAAAAAGAGCAAAAAATATGGATTTGTAGTATTTATGAATTGCGGTTACATTTACTATTTTGAAACTATTGTCCAACAGATAAATACAATTTAATGGATAGACATATGGGGCCATAGTGAATTTCAAGCTCTATTAGAATATGTCATCACGTTTTTTAAAAGTTATTTCTGAATCTATAAAAATCTTCAGAAGTTATTTGTTTTTTTAGTGTATAAATGCAAACGAAAATGCAAATATACAGGGTGATAGAAAACTCCAAACGCTCTCAGAATATGCCATTATTTTTTAGAAATCCGTTTTTATCGTAACGATGTAATTAAAATACGCACTGCCACTATTTTTTCCGAAGTCTACATGTAAAATTGTTTCTTTCTTTTTGGTTGATTGCTATTGATCTTAAAGATTTCTTGTTTCGATCGTTTTTTCCTTTATTTCCAGTGTTGCTGTTGAAACGATAATCACAAAATGTAACGAGCAAAGCCTCTATGCATGCATTAAGGACGAAGAAAAACAAAACACACGAATTTGGTTGCATTATAGTCATTCATGGAAAAGAGAAAAAAAAATGAAAAGTTATCAATCGAATTATAAATGGTTGTTGTTTGCCTCTGGCTTCATTAGAAAAGAACGATGACGCTGACAAAGTATTTCTGGTTGGTTACTTCTACTGTTGTCAACATTTTCTTGTTGATGTATGCTTCGATGTGCATTGCATTGAGCCCATAAGTGTCTTATTGCAAAGAACAAAAAGAAAAACTACCATTTTCTGCTATTCCAACGAAACACTTCAAAGGTTTCTCAGTTGTTTTTGTTTGCTATTTTATTCGTTCTGTCTGCATGCATATAATTAAGGATGTGAGTGTGGGTGTCAGACAGAGAAAGTAGAAGAAGCTAAAAACTTGGCAAAAAGTCGAACAGATTTTCAATTTTTGGTACATATTCTTTTCTTTCTAAACATTTTCTCTTATCGAATTGTATTCTTCGCTTCTTTCCTAGCTTGCAAAAAAAGTCTTCTACTATGTCAATCTGTTATGTCGCTAAGCAAGTTCTAAATGCATAGGGTGGAATCTATTTGGAACCATTGCAATGTACTTCACTCTAAGATTGGAATTCAACGAAGATTGTTCTTACAAGGCAGACTATATGCGCCATCGCAGCTAGACTGTAATGTATTTGAAAGAGGACATTATCTTCATTGGAGGTTTATTAAATTACGTTCATTATGGATGGTGCTCTTAATAATAATTACATTCATTCTGATTCATTGGAGTTTTTATAACCCCTGCATATCACCAGCAGTTGATCGAAAAAAATTAGCATTCATGGTAAAAGTATTCGACAAGATCATGACTGAGCTTAATGTTGATCATTGGATTGATTTTGGAACGTTACTGGGTGCTGTGCGATATCACGATATTATTGCGTGGGATCACGATGCCGACGTGTCTTTTGATCGAAGATTTGCGTACTTGCTCCATAACGGTGGTTTAGCACAGAAGATTGCCAAGGATCGATATAATATTCATTTAAATGCAGCAGTAATGCTCTATGAAGGGATGCAAGTTGATATCTATAGTTGGAATAAGATCAGATTGCCCAATGGAAATTTCATATACACGAAAGGCGCGAATCGAAATCCAGAGTTTTGGGAAAAACATTTCAATGACTTTAATGCCAGCTTTGTGGAGAAGACCGTTTTAATCCCATTTGCTGGTGAAATGGTCAAAGCTCCTTACCCTACATTGGAATTTATCAAGCAGCGTTATCCAATGTCATATAATAGAATGATACCGTTCAAATTGTCATGTTATCTTCCTTGGAACATTCCCTTTTGGTGGATGTGGGTGTAGGTATGGGCAAAAGTAACATTCACACTCACATCATATGTACTTCGGGAATAAAAAATTAGGTAATTTGGAGTCGAGGAGAAAATTTATTTGACTTTTTAAGATCTATTTTGCTTGAGAGTGACGGAGATTTTCCTTCAGTTATGCTGAAGAAATTCTAGAAAACAAGAATTGTGTTCTTCTAGAGACTTTTCGTCTTAATTACCTACACACATTTTAATGAGTATACGTAAAAAGAAGAAGATGACGTTGGCTGTGAGCAAAGTGTCCATTAGATTTTAAAAGTCAAACTTACAGTAATTAGGACCGAATATAACACACAGTTGCAAACTGAGTTTTGTCATACTAAAAGATACTTTCAAGAAGAGAAAAACAAGAATGTGATGTTATTTTTTAGGGTGTGGGTGTGGGTGTGAGTGGGTGTGGGTGTGAGTGGGTGTGGGTGGGTGTGGGTGTGAGTGGGTGTGGGTGGGGGTGGGGGGGGGGGGTGGGTGTGGGTGTGGGTGTGGGTGTGGGTGTGTGGGTATGGGTGTGGGTGTAGGTCTGGGGTGTTGGTGTGAGTGTAGATGAATGGTTACACGACACCCACACCCACACCACACCCACGCCACACCCACACCCACATCCACACCCACACCCACCCACACCCACACCCACCCACACCCACCCACACCCTCTTCAAATGATATTAGCTATTTCGACAATAGCGATGCATTATATTAAATATTCTTTATTACCAATAGATTCAACAACTTAGTTTTTCTAACAAATGATCAAGATAATATTGCTGCTACATCAACATTTGATGATTCAAATAAAGCTAATGCAATGGATAAACAAATATATAAAAAAACCAACAACATTACGTTCATTATCAACATCAGCAACACATAATAATATTAAACAACCTTCAACAAAGTATTTTATTACAAATACTGACGATAAAATATCAACAACAACAAATCGACCGATGAATTATTCACTTGATTCTGTTTTTAATTTTACTTTAGAATTAGAACAAAGATCAACAGATGATATTCAACGTCGACATACAATAAGAACAAATGATATTGATCCATTATTATTAAATAGTTTAACTGATGAAGAAAATCAATTAAATTTTTAATAGAAAAAACAAATGAATATGATTCTTCTATGAATTCTATTGATGATAATAGTACTCAATCAATTGATTTAGAAAATAATAAACAAGAAAATTCATTAGGATATGATCGATTACAAAATAATTCAATTAATAGTCGAACTATTGAATTTGTTGTTTACAAAGAAAAATTAAAACAATTATTATCATCAAAATATTCATCAAATTTAATGTTTGTTTTTTTTCGGATTTTTCAACACCAATACCAATGATTCCATATATTTTTTCTCAAGATATAATACCATTTAATACAAATGGTAGTCATCTTATAATATGTGTACATGGTTTAAATGGTAAATCTGTTTTTCTTATGTCATCATCAAATCATTCAACAACATTAGATGATATTGATGTTATGGTTAAACAACTTATTGAAGAAATTGATATACATATTGAACGTTATGGATTAAAACCACAACGTATTAGTTTTATTGGTCATTCATTGAGAAATTTAATAATACATGCTGTTGTTAATCATCAACGTTTTGAGCCATATAGACCATTACTTTGTTGATCAAGATAACATACAATCATCACCAATACTTAAATCTCATACTAATCAATCATTTGGTCTATTTCCCAATCAATCTGATTCAGATTTAAATAATATTAACTATAATAAATTCAATTCTTCATATTTATCAACACCAATAAGTCATCAATAAGTCATCATTCATTACCTAATGTTTTATTAAAACGAAGTAATAGTAGTATACCAACAACAAATTCAAATCTAATTAATTCACCAATTGTTCCAAAAGAAAACAAATTTTTTTATGTTCAACATCAGATAAAAGAAATGATGAAATGGTATATGAATTATGTATGAAAAAATTTTTCTCTCAATCTATCTAATATTACTCATTATGAAATATTTATTGCTCATATACCTACTCAAACATAAATAGTCTATTAAAAATTAATGATTAAAAAGAAAAAAAATATATCTTGAAATACAAAAATTTGATTGGTAACAATTTAATTCAAATGAAATTGATAATCATATTGAAATTATTCTTGCAGCTGATGTTATTTATGATGATAATTTAACTGATATATTATTTAATGTATTTATGAAATTATTTTCAGATAAATTAAATCTTTATTCAATTTATATAACAATTGAAGAACGAAGTAATTTTTATCTTGATACATTATCTATTCAATGTCAAGCATATGAATATTTCCTTGAAAAATTAAATCAATTGAAAATTCACACACACATATGATGGTAGTACATTATCATCTTTTTTTACATAATTATTGTTCTTATGGGTTCTATCTACGATATCTTTTGATTAAAAATATTTTTTATTTTATTTATTTTTTTTGTTGTTCTTCAAATGATATTAGCTATTTCGACAATAGCGATACATGACATGATATTATTATATATTCTTTACTACCAATAGATTCAACATTTAGTCTTGAAATATTTAATCCAAATATTAATTTACCAATTCAAGTAAAAGCTCAAACACAAACAAATCTTGAAAATTTAATTATGAAAAATATTATACCACAAGGTAAATCTAATATATGATCTGCAAATGAACAATGGAAAGCACTACCTACAAAACAAAAAATTGCAATTGATACTGATACATTTAAAGGACTTTTGAAATGTAAAGTCTATTTTTACTCATGAAACTGTATCAATTGATAGTGAAATTACACTTCAAGTTGCAATCAAAAATAATTTTCCATTAGTTATTGAATTTAGTGAATTATTAACATATTTTAATTTAAACGAATATGATGGTTTAGCTAATGTTACTAATGCTGAACAATTAAAATTTTCTTTAGGTGAACAACGAATATTAACTTTTTAATTTTGCACCAAAAAATGATCATGTTCAACTATTACTTGAAATTATATCTGTTTCATTAACTTATGGTATGACAATGGTGAAACAGTTTATGTTTTAATTCATCTTTTCAATAAATATCTCGTACACCTAAATGGCGAACAAAAGCTGGTCATATTCTATGGGAAAATTTACCAATTAGACGAAAAACAAATATCATTATGAGAGCAACAGAAGTACAATTAACTGTTGAACATCAATTACCTGTACTTCTCTATGAATCTTATCCTGTGAAAATTAAAATAAAAAATTGTGAAAATGTTGATATACATCCAGCAACTTTGACTTGTACTTGTTCAACTTCAGATGATAACTCTCAAACATCGGATGATATTTTTCTTTTCGTATTCAATAACGGAAAATAATACTGAAACAACAACACATTTATGTTCAATGAAATTTGAGAAAATTAAAAAAAGATGCCGAAATTGATCAAGATTTATATGTACGATGTAATAATAATCGTTCTCGAGATATTACTATTCGATTGTTTTATGAACAATTAAATTTACATTGTATGAAAGAAATAATTATTCAATCAGCTGATGTTAATCCATTTTTAAATTCAATTTCAAACAATGAGAATGATGATGGAACTTCTTGCTTCATTACGTGCTCAAGAACCATTTATTTTAATGATTGATACGAAATGTACATCAACTTTTACTATATTTAATGTTTTTATCAGCGATTAAAAAGAAAAAAATATATATTGAAATACAAAACTTTGATTGCTGATGTTATTTATGATGATGATTTAACTGATGCATTATTTAATGTATTTATAAAATTATTCCAAGATAAATTAAATCTTTATTCAATTTGTATAACAATTGAAAAACGAAGTATTTTTTATCTTGATACAGTATCTATTCAATGTCCAGCATATGAATATTTTGCTTGAAAAATTAAATCAATTGAAAATTCATTTTCCATTATTAATTATCGAAGAAATTAATACAAATATAAAATCTATAAAACAATGTACAACAATTTATAAACGAACAAAAGAATTAGTTCTTTGGCATATTTATCATTCAGAAAGATATTCATCATAGATTTTCATCGTAATGAAACAAATGTATCTAAATGTGGATATCAATTATGGAATGGTGCTTTACTTTTTTGTGATTATATTTTAACAAATCAATCTCGATTTTTAAATGAAATAATATTAGAATTAGATACTGATATTGGTCTTTGTAGTCTTTTTGCTAGTCGATTTGTATCGATAATTATTTGTATTGATCATGATTTTTTCTACATAATCTATCTCTTTTTTGTTTCTTTTCTTTCTCTAAAAAATCTTTATTTGTGTGCTATTTTATGCCTCCTTCCTTTCGTTTTATATATAAATATATATATATGGAATGTTTTTATGCAGAGCCCTGATGAGTGTTAAAATTTTAAATAAATAACACGAAACGCGTCGGCAAAAGTTTAACTCTGCATTATAATAATTTATTTATATTTATTTTTAATTCATCTATCGACTCAATCGAGTGCTGAAAAGCACAAATTGAGATTAGCAAATTGAATACTTTCTTTTCAACGAAGAAAGTTCAATTTGTTTTCAATTGAAATCTCAATGTAATAAAAAAATTGATTTTCTTCCGTCAGAAGCGCTAAAAAGCTAATATTTAGCATTGTTACTATGATTTCGCAGAAACTAAGACAGCTGGAAACTTGATTTTTTCAGAAGTGAATGGCCATCTTTAGACCAACAAACAAAAAACAATTATTAAAATCAATTGAGTAGAGCTCGAGTTATAGGCATTTTTCTTTTCGGAATACAACGGTACAATGGCTGTGCTCTTCACTCATATATTTATAATCGATATGATAAAATTGTTAATGAAAAAAATTCAAATGACGTTAATGATTTATCTAATCAAATGATCAATGGAAAAGATCTAAATATCAATTATCTGCTGATAATATGCATTATGTCCTACTTCAGATGATCTACACGATGATCGTAAAGAGAAGTAAGACGTTAATTTTATATAGAGATACGTTGATATAATGATAGCTGTTCAACAATCACAATGCTCGAGGGAGAGTAAAGAACTTTTTTCAATCGGTTTAAAACAGAATTTTTGTAACTATGGATGAACGCTAAAAATTTGTTTTAACGAAAAAAACGACTATGTATGCGTGTCTAGACGATTTTTCTTTCCAAAAAAAAATCAACCATTCAAGTTTATTTTACATTGTTCGTCGAATAATTACATGACCTGCCGGACATAAATATACACAATGATCATTCGCACATAAATTAAGGTCATACATACAGACATACATATATATATGTCGTAGTAGAAATTAAAATTCAGTAGAATTTAAAATTCTACTAGTAGAAATTAAAATTTCAATTTCTACTAGGAGAAATTGAAATAACCGGCGATTTTAAGTTGCACTAGTGGAAATTAAAATTTTAATTTCTACTATAGGAGAATTTTAAATTCTACTAGAAACTTACACTATAGAATTATGTGAATATCTCCTAGAATAGAAATAAAATTAAACCTTATGTGATCACTAGATTATTCGATTTAATGGCATAAACAACTTGTAATTCCCCAATAGTAACTAATTTAAAGTGTTTATGGAGCTAGAATTTAAATAGCTTCACCTCAACCACCTTTTATTACCGTATATGATGTCATTATAAGCAGCTTGTGTGATAACAAACTTTGAACGAAATCTTTCGCCTAAAGATTCTATATGTTTATCAAATTTCGAATAAAATGGTTCCATTTCATGTAATATTCAAGTCTTTTTTATTTTGATACTGACGCGAGAACTTCAAATTAAATATCAAAATCTTTTTTCTTTGCGTTCTACATATTGTATCATTCGAATGAGGGTTAATTTTATTTTCTATTCTAGGAGATATTCACATAATTCTATAGTGTAAATTTCTAGTAGAATTTAAAATTCTTCTATAGTAGAAATTAAAATTTTAATTTCCACTAGTGCAACTTAAAATCGCCGGTTATTTCAATTTCTTCTAGTAGAAATTGAAATTTTAATTTCTACTACGACATATATATATATTGAAAAAATGTCTGTACAGAATAGATTGAATAGAATAAGAATGAAGAAGATTACATTTGAATCATTACCTAATGAACTTTTACTGATGATATTTTCTTATTTATCTTTCATTGATCTTTGTCAATTGTTTCTTGATTTAAAAAATGCTCGTCTTGAACGTCTTCTTACTTCTAAATATTACTCATTAGATCTTAGTTCAATATATTTTGATCAATTACGACAATTTCTCAGTAGTAGTAACGATAAAATAAATCGTTTGACTACTTTGATAGATACAGTTGTAATTTGTGATTCATCTGCTGGTTGGATGTTACTCAAACATTGGATAGAAACATTCATTGATACCGAACTATCAAACACATGGTTACCATCGATCAAGAAGCTTTTTATATTAAATGCAGACTATTTCCAACATTACTTTATTAAATCATTTTTTCCACCTTTGATTTCTGTTAGCAATACATTACAATATTTGCATCTGGTATTTGAAACACCTACGTTCTATTATCCTTCAGTACTCTCCGAACTAATTCGTCATCATATATCAGTTCATACTATGATATTAGAAGTTGAAAACGGTATGTGATTATATATATTCTAGAATAAAAATTCAAGATGCGACTGACTAAATATAATAGCTATAATAATAGAGTATGATTTTCGAACATATTATTCAAAAACTCTTATTTTATTAATAGATTTTCAAATAATCCTTTAACTTAGATTGTATTTATGTTTTAAATTAAAAAATGTTATCGAAAGAAATATTTAAAAACAACATCTACATCAATATAGAATAAGTTAAAATAATAAATTATATGTCAGTTATAATTTAATTGAAAATTTTTGTTTATTAATATGTTATGTTTTCTAAAACCTATGATATTTCAATTCGAAACGAGTTTTCATGAAAAAGACAATGTTCTATTTCAATAATGAATTAGAGATTAGAGATTATCTCATGGATATAATTGATCCTTCTTTGTATTTTTATATATCATATGGAAAAGAATACAAATTCTCGAATTGAGAATATAAAATTTAGTTGAAATAGCTTTTCTACTCATTATTTATTGATTTTACTTATAGGTCATGAATTCTATCCGAATGAGCTGAAGAAAGATTTACACAAGATGGAATCATTATATTGGCCAAATACAGTTCAATTAACATTAAGTATTCAATATCCCAGCGAACTTGTTCTTGTATTGAAACGTGACGCTCTACCTGCAATTGAACATTTAAATATTACCAATGAGCAAATACATACTGTTTTCCCATTACGTCGATATATACCAGTATCAAATATTCATCTTTGTGATTATAATCTGCGTGAAATAGCTGATGGTACTCGCTTGCGATCTTTACTCTTACGTTATTTATCTCTCAGCGATATTATTCTATTGATTGGCTCATTAACCATGCCTTTGCTTGAAAAATTAATACTCATTGATTTGTATGATGATAGTAAGTTATCATTTGATGTTTTTCTTCGCTTTTTCAACTGGGATTATTCCAGTTCATTTCATATGATAGATCGAATCATAAATTCAACTTTAGAGATGAAAGATAGTTGTGATATATATGAAAAAAAAAACATTTTTCTCGATAATCTAATTCATTCTTTTCCTTATTCATCATATCGAAATAAATTCGAAAGTATTTATATGAATATATTCTCTTTCTCGTAGAGAAGAGTCTTGCAAACATAAATTGTCTGCTTGATTGTATGTCCGCACAAGGTCAAAAAAACATTTTATTGATATTTTCTATAAAACTTAACCACAGGGTAATCGGAGTCGACGAACTCGAATCTGATGTTAGTTTTTCAAAATTTTTTTTGCGGATCATTTTTTTACACAAAAAACCACTTTTTTTACAAAAAAACCCTTTTTTATAAGGGTTGACCGAAGGGTAATCGGGGTCGACGAATCCGAATCTGATGTTAGTTTTTTAAAATTTTTTTTGGATCCTTTTTTTTACACAAAGAACCAATATTTTTACAAAAAATAGTTTTGTATAAGGGTTGACCGAAAGGTAATCGAGGAGGAGGAATTCAAATCTGAAGCCTGTTTTCTAAGAATTTTTTGCAGCTCAATTTTTTAAATAAACGACAAGTTTTTAACAAAAAAATATTTGTTTTTATGAGGTTTGGTCAAAGGTAGTTAACATCCACGAACTTGAATCTGACTTCGGTATTTTTAATTTTATAAATGAATAGCTTGACGGTAGTTTAGAAACACGATTTCTACGAGAAAGAGCTGGGTGAGTCTTTAGACGAGCGCTACTTGTTCATTTTACTATGAATTCTGTTTTGTTGTTTTTTGCAGCATTAGATCAGGTTGGTAAATTTCAAGAAGTTTGTAATTTTACCCATTTACCTTCTCTGCAAAATCTTCACTTTTCATTGTGTTTTCCTCAAGAAATGGAACAAGCATGGCAAATGAGTTCATTCCATCATAATGACGAATGGCCTTTTGATAATCTTGATTGTTATATAGATGAGAAGTGGATTTCTCCTGATGGCAGAATAGATTTAATGACGAAGGCATTCTTCGTCGTGTGCACACGTCCGATCAACATCATATTACAACACCAGCGAACTTTACACAATTATTGTTTTGCGACACATGTATCTGTCCCTCTTATTACAACTCAACGACGATCACTTACAATGACTTTTGATCAATTAGATAAACCTGAACAATCAGTCAAAACTTTGCAAGTAGTTGCAAGTAGTCGAGTTAATAAACTTAAATTGATATATCTGAATAAACAAGTAAGTTTCAAAAGAAATCTTATTTGATTAATCATTTTGATCGTCAGTTAATATAAAAATAGTTT